TTACATTTATCCCAAGTGGGATTTGAACCTTCGGCCGGTCTTGACGAAGGTAATAATTTAGCTAATATAATCGATCTTTCATTGATAAATAGTGGCCTTGTTTTCTAGTCAAATAATCAAACAGGTTTGTTATACTTCTTTTGATGCTTTTACGAATTTTTAGTTAACGTTTGCGTTCTTTGAATTTCTTATCTTTCAAATATAGGTATCTGTACGGTCTGTGTTGACTACATCTGCATCTTGCCTACTTAGTTGGTTCCAACTGTTAATAATTTTCTCTCATGTTCTCTAATTTAATACTTTATCTATTTTATTATCTCTTTGTCTTTTTCTCGTATTGAAAGAAGACTAGCATTCCATCGACCCAAATTTCGTTTCCACAATACAGTTTCACGGATAGATCTAATAGTAAAAAAGTTTAAACGTGAGAACTAATTAAAACCTCATAACCCCATTACCCAAACATAATTCTAGGCATTATTTTCGAACACATGAAAGCTTCCGTTAACTTTTCTTCATAAACGACTTTCGTCAAACAGTTTAACAACGCCGCAGCTGACGTGAAACGTCCACCGCTTATCGCATGGCGCGTCGTCCCCTAGTTTCCATTATTCAGGACAAGCGCCTGTGAACCTTTGTGCTGAGGCACGCGATTCGGCGACGTTGGAAAAAAGTTCTTTATTACACGCTTTTATTGGCCTGACCTGCTTATTTTCATCTAATGGGAGAAGTTTGCGAAGCAGGCTTACCAACAATTTGTCTATTTGTATATTCTTTACGCAAAATATGTGCAAAGGCGAACTTAATGCTATCAGCATTATCTTAACTTTGGGTGGTCCACAGACGTTTAAGTAGGTGGATTGATTATAAAATGATACTTGTATTAAAACTAAATGTACACTTCCGTCGTCACTCGCAATCCGAAAATGAAATATAGAAGAGAAGAATATAAGTATTTTGCATTACGCCGATCTTTTGTGAGCACGTGATTCCTCCAAAGACAAAGCTGGCCATTCGTGTAACGAGACCGTGCTATACTGCGGTACTCTGCCACGGTGGTTTGTATGAGTTTTATGAAATATTAGAGGAGTACTCTCTTTTATACGTGTAAAAATTATTATTTTTTTTAATTTTTAGAAGAGAGCAATTGCATTATATTAAATAACGATGGGCCTAATTATTTATTTAATTTATTCAAGTTTGGAGTACCCTCGAAATATTATTAGCCAGCTTCAAATGAACGAAACGGATTAAATTGCTTTAACGTACTTTGTAACTTAATCTGTAATTGACTAATGGACGTTAAATTAATTTACTCTGCGTCCCCTTAAATCTTTTACATCTTTAGCTTTGGGCGCTCGTTTTTCGATTTGGTAAGTGGACATTCTGCCGTGGTTGGTAAATAAACAAATACGTAATAAACACAAGGGCGAAATATTTTCCGAAAAAAAAAAAAAAAAAAACTTAAAGAAAACGCAATAAACCTTTGGGGATTTTGAAACGTCGGGATTTAAAATTAAACCTAAAGATTATAAACCGGTAAAAGTAGTGTCATTTAGTGATGCGTATCGTGTACTTAGAATCGTGCTTCGTTAGTCCTGTGAAGGTCTATATTCCTCGGTGGGCTAGAACAGGTTGAGATGACGATGATGATTATATTTTTTTTTTTTTTTTTTTTATGCGAAAAGTTGTCAAACGAGCAGACGGTTCACCTGATGTTAAGTGAATACCGCCGCCCATGGACATCTGTTACACTCGAGGGTTACAGATGCGTTGACAACCTTTTGAAAATTGGGCTCCGGCTACCTCACTCACCAGACGAAACGCGAAAGTATTTGTCATACTTCCACTTTACGCCGGTCTTCTGTGAGGTCGTGGTACTTACCCGGACGGGCCTGCCCATTCGTGCAACAGCCGAGGCTGCTGCGTGGCCCCACCACCGTAAAAATTATATGGCATTAGAAATGCGAATTTGTATTGATTATTGAAAATCACAGCAATCGAAGCCGTGCAATAACTATTACCGCTTGCGATGAATTCAACCCATCACGCACTCCAGCCGAACTAGTCAAATTTTGCTTTTAAAGCGCTTCCTAAAATTGGTAACTATGTACTTGTATATAAGTGCTGTAAATTGTCTGAACGTAAATGCAGCATCAAAGCACTCAACGCTTCTGTCTCATCATTTTCTTTTCATCCAGGCAGCGGGCTCTGAATAATTGGGTTACATAACTAGAAAATGTTTCTGGTATTTAAACGCCTCTAAACATCACTAAATGAAACTATTTTTACATATCCCGGAGGCTTTATTTTCCCGACACGTAGCGCGACGTGTAATTTTAAATTATTCACCTTACGTTCGAAAATGTTCTAATGTAACCTCTTGGTATTTGATGTTTTTTAATGTCAAACTTAAGCAGAACGGTTATCGATGTAAAGTAAGAATTTCAAATCAAACAACATAAAAAAGCCCACTAGCTTTTTTAGCTCTTATGATAGATATAGTTAATGTTCTGAAAGGTCGCAGTATACTGTTTTTTTTTTTATTTGAAAAGTTGCCAAGCGAGCAGACGGTTTACCTGATGTTAAGTGAAAACCGCCGCCCATGGACACCCGAGCAATTCATTCATGCATTCGTTCGCTGTGTGCGAATATGAGACCGTGTTCCTCAAACAGAGAGGATGAGAAGAAGAAGAAGAGATTTTGAAAAAGACGGAAGCGTTGATCAGGTCACCCGGATGCTGTCTCTGAATTAGAAGACAATGAAAGAATATTAATAAGGAAAGGAAATAATTTTAATAAAAAAAAAAAAAAATAAGTAACTATATCAGGAAAGAGGAACAATTAAAAATTTTTTGAGGAATACTTCTGAAACAAAATGTCGATTCGACATCTTCATAAGTAACGGAGTTCAATAATAAAAAACGCTGTCTTTTAATTTGTAGAAAATTAAAGAAAACTAAAAACAAACAAATAAGTCTATCAGGAATGATGGAAAACTAAAAATTGTTTTAAGAATCTCTTCTAATTTTTATTTCTTAAACTGAACGTCGTTTCGACTTCTTTATAGAAAAGAAAGGAGTTGAAATATAGAAACGCTTTCAACTTTTCTTTTTCTTTTTTAAATTAAAAAAAATATATTAGATTGGTGTCCATTAAACGGGGCCGCTAATACTCGGCGGCGGATTTCCCCCAATGAAGCCTTTGATTGAGTTCGTCGGCCCGCGCAAGCTTTCGAATTTCGAATTTACCCATTGTGAAAACGAATCTTTTTAAGTTTTTCTGCTGTTCGTTATGAACAGTGATGACATTTTACTGGTTTGTTTTTGTAATATGTGTTTCTATAAACGTTGATTAGGGTAAGTTTGTTGATGTAAAAATTTTACTGTAATTTTTATTATATTTATTGTTAAAATGTACGCAAAGATCGCAATAAAATATAATATAACAAAAAGTCCGGCCGATATGTTGTAGGACTTCAAGACGCAATCAAGCATTACTTTAATATAATGCTTGATTGCGTTTTTAAAAACAATGTAGATGAAAGACGTTAATGTTTTCGTCTGTGTTGCAATCGGCCGTTTAGCTTAGTGGTTAAAGCGTCAGGCCGCGAATGCCGTAGACGTGGGTTCGATTCCCACAGCGGCGACAGTCTTCGTACTTTTTCTACATATTTTAATGTTCAATCTTAAGTGCAGAGATTAGTACTATAAACAATTTAAATATATAAAGTATTGGTAAGAGTGCATAGCTATCATTAGTTACTATTGGATCAGGTTTCTTTTAATTAACGTGATACCGTATGTGGAAAGGAAACTTGTTTGTTAAACGAACATGATATAATTTTAACATCTGATTTATCTTACATTTTCCGAAAGAGAACGTTTAGTTTTTTTTCTCCCATAGGCGTCTATTTATTCCGTGGCAAGTACTTTATAACAAAACAGCAGTATTTGCTCGTGACCTTTAGGGACTGACTTTTCTTTTCAATTTTATTTTGCATTCCCTTTGCGAATTCGTTTACATTCGTCGTGCTCGTTTGCCTTGAATTTTATTTTTGTAGCAGTCGTTTTCTCTTTTACTTTACTTGTAATGTGTTCAAGTTTACCATAAATTTTTTGCTGTAACAAAATACGATGTTATAGTAGCAAAACATATTTTCGGTTTAGTTATTTTTACGTTTAATTGAATACAAGGGTTGGCACCCAAGTAAAATGGATAACGAACATCGACTACATAATATAATTAAATGTTACAATGTTTAAACGTCGACGGTTGGTCCAAACGGAAGCCTTAGTTAAGCAAATCCTTCCTAACCTGATTAAAGTGGTTTATCGTCACGCCTATAACCTCAAAGGGGTAGGGTGATAGGGGTGGGTCTTTTTTTTTTCATTGCCTCAAATTTTTTGGCTTGCCTGATCGTAAATATTGACTCTAAATACGAAAACACTCTGATTTTTACCGCTTTACATCTACATGAATTTTAATGTATATTTTACAGCATCACATCTTCTGACATTGGCCTTATTCGAAATTCGTCGAAGCGAAATCTAATAAAGGTTGATGAGAATTTCGGGCAAATTTGTTTTACGTGGGGTGGAATTAATGCTATGACTCAGTTGGCAAGGGATAATTTAAGAGCGAGATTTCCTTCGCATGCAAGATCTCTTAAGTTTGACTTAACCTAACCGCATTTGGCTTTGTAATTTAAAGTAATTTTAAAGCATAATTAGCATCATCCTCAAAAAAATTCTGTGTGAATGACTTAGTCTAAAAATCAGTCAAGACAATATATCGTTAACTGAAAGTATTCTTTAAAACAGCATAAGGGTTGGAATAGCAAACTGCATCATTAAACACAGATTAAGATAATTGGTTACTAGCAGTATTTGAGTCAATGGAACAGTCATCAAAGGAAATCTTTTCTGGCCTGGTTTATAATGAAGTGCAGTGTATAAATGGCAGCAGAAATTTGTTATTGATGTGACATTTGTCCACAGAGCATCCTCGGCGAGTTCAACCGTGAGCAGGATGCTTTCATCAAGGGTCAGGACGCTCGCGGTGGCAGCGCCGCTGTGCCACCATGGGTCGGTGCCCCCAACGAGGCGGCCCTCAAAGAAGAATGCCTCTCGCTCTCGACTGTAAGCTAACATCATAATAATATTAATAATAATAACAACTGGTAGGGCCACGTAATGGTGTTCGCTGTTGCACGAATGGGCAGGTCCGTCCGGGTTAGTACCACGACCTCACAGAAGTGCTACACTTCTGTGTTTCGTCTGTGGCAACGCTTCCGCAACCGTACGGGTGTTGCAAGTGTCCATGGGCGACGGTTATCACTTAACATCAGGTGAAACGTCAGATCGTTTGCCATTTTGTCACATAAAAAAGAACAACGTGTTATTCTATAAGACATGGTAGGCAGGCTTTCGTGGAAAAACATTTAAAATGTTTTTATTTGAATGAAATTCATTTAACTTCATTGAAATTCACTTAATGATCATGGTTCATTAACTGTCGCTGACGCAGTGAACTGCGCAAATAATTGCATAGACACATTGACAGAGGATCGACGTAAAGCGGAAGACTTCATACTTTAGCGTTTCACCTGGACCCGCGAAACGCACTTGCAAACCCTGTGTATTTGAGAGGTACCGCAAAATTGTCTGTCACTTTGTTTAATAAGAATAATCTTTATTTGGTTCATTGTCCATAGTTTGTTAGTATTTGTAGGTAACAGTGTGACTCAAGCCTAGGTTAGTGTTATTTGTGAACATAAGGTTACAATTGGTAATTATTATTTTGTCAGACCTATACCTAAAACCAAATACTACGCAACTATGCGCAAAATCTGCCTATTAAAAGGTTTAAGAAATTTATTAAAGAAATACTTTATAAAAAGGGTTATTATAATATAAACGAATACATTAATGACAATAACGCCTGGGAATGAGTTGATCGCACCCAAGCTATTTCTAAAAGAAAAAAAAAATATCAGTTGTATAATATTTTAATTTTTTTAAGAAAAAAAAAATGCCAAAAACAGGATACCTACGGAGTTTCTTTTCGCCTGTTTCTCCGTTAGAGGAACCTCATTACGAAACGGTGGTAGATTTAAAAAAAAATATGACTATCGCTAGATGAAATGTAAGTTTCTTATGTCGATGAATAAATCATTTTTAATTTGTTTTTGATTTCGATGATTAATTTGTTTTTGATTTTGATTTTTGAACCGTGAACCAGTGTTGCTGTTGGAACAGTCAGGTCTGCCAGCAATCGTTTTCAGAGTAGAGTACTGTTGTCATTATACTGTATAGGGTTAAGCAGTTGTCGGCTTCACTCTCTTCTTCAACATTGGTCGTATTCCGAGAGAGAAGTTTGCCACGTGTTTCCAGGACCGGCGAAACTTCGTGCGCGCGCCCCCCGCCGGCGTGGACTTTGAGTTCGACTACGACAAGATGTACCCAGTGGCCGTGTCCATAATGGCCGAGGACCCCAACCTCGAGAAGATGCGCTTCGACCTGGTGCCCAAAGTGTGAGTTGATCTGAAGCGAACGTGAAACATATCCAGGCGACTTTTCTTTCATCGGGTTTCTTGCCGGAAACGTTTCGAGTGGATAGTTTAACAGTTTGCAAACAAAGGTTGGAGACATTAACAACAGAAAAGTAAACTAATGTAACAGCCTATAAATGTTAATACATAGAGGGGTATATTTGTCCATGTATATATGGGTTCAGTATTTATTACACATGTCCACATGAGGAAAATTTAGTCTAAAATATATCATAAATATCTTATGATATATCTTAGACTAAATTTTCCTCATGTTTTGCAGATGGGGCGTATATATTGGAACAGACGGACGTTGACACTACGTTTTACTTAATACGTCTCAGAACTAAGTAGAAACTCGTAAACGCTTATCAATGCATCCCCTTTGATTCTCGGTACTTGCCCTACCAAAACGCGTATGAGGGATGTATGTGTGATTGAGATGGATACTAACGTCTAATGATATGATTATAGTTAAGATCGTTTATTTAATGATTTATACTGGTAATGTATTAAGACGCCTTCGAGGCACGCATGTGTGAATGTGACAAGTCCAACTACAATCGACCCTACTTTGGTGACATGACGAGTATTTCTAAATTCTTGTGGAGCTGGATGGAATGCATTTTTACACGTATTCTAACTAATAAATTTAAGTACGTGTTTTAACTGGTGCTGCTCAGCTCTAGTATGTTTAGATCTAATCTCAATAGGTTTAATCTCAGATGTGATAGCGTTTCATTCACCTGAGAACGGTGCCCTTGCAGTATCACGGAGGAGAATTTCTGGCGAAACTATTTCTACCGCCTCTCGCTGATCTGCCAGGCCAACGAGGCTGACGCTGCTGGCGGTCGCCAGTCCAGCGCTGAAGACTCGCAAGGTACGCCCAACTACTTCACTTGCTCTGTCTCTTTCATCCCAAGCCCAGTCGCCTATCGCCTTCTTCTTCACGCCTATCCTTTACTCTTCTCGCATCTTATACCTACCTTCCTTCAATTTTGAACCTACTTGTCTTTTTGCTGTGGTAGGACCACGCAACAGTTTTCGCTGTTGCACGAATGGGCAGGTCCGTCTGGGTAAGTACCACGACATCACAGAAGATCGACGTGAAGTGGATTTATTATACTTCTGCGTTTCGTATGATTGAGGTAGCCGGGGCCCACCTTATTAAAAGGTGGCAACGCATCTGCAACCCTTCGGGTGTTGCACGTGTCAATGGGCGGTTGATATCATTTAACATCAGGCGAACCGCCAGCTCGTTTTCCACCTTCTCAAATACAAAAAAACTTGCGCCGTCTCTTTCATCTGACACCCAATTGTCTCTCGCCTTCTTCACACGTGCCCTATGCTCATCCATTTCCCATCATATTCCCCTCATCCACTGCCACCGCTACTTATACATACTGTATATATTACATTTTGTACTGGCTGCATTTTAGATTTGCACGGTTTTATGGTTTCCTTTAAAAATTTTTCCTCATCACTTATGAATTTCTAAATAGACTCTCACGTTCACTTATTCAATGTTTTTGATATTAACTTCAATTGAGATCTTTCACTTTTACTATATTTGAAATTTCCTATGCGACATGGCTATCTACCCTCAAAATTTAGTCGTTTCACTTTTGTAAACAGTAATGATATCATCCATAAAGATAACTTGAAATGCACAATGATTTATATTCAATATCATCTCAAAGAGAAAATATTAAACAGTTGTGTTCTTAATCGTAATTGAAATTAAATGCTTTTCCGCTACCCCACACCATTTCATTTATTTCCCTTGATTTTATTTCGCAAACCTATTACAGACCATTCCCCCATTTCGAATCATGTTTGGCTTTGTTGATTTCAGTTTTTGTTTTGCTCTTTCCTTCACCGACCGTTTTGTTTTCTCCCGTATCCGCTAGATGAAGTGTCGACGGGTGAGAGAGTTGTGTCCAAAGGGGGCTCGTCGCAAGAAACAATCGACGATGCAAAGAGGCGGATAAAGTCCTTGAAAGTCGATAGAGAAAACGACGACGGTAAGATTGCCCCGACTCCTTAAACGACTGTAGATCCGGAGGTATATCTCGGGATATTCTGTCTTCTCGTCTAATCCCTTTTCATCGAAAGAATGAAAAGAATGGGATTATAGAGTTTTTTTGGTTGCATTGCCCTTTTACTTTACATTTATCATTTTCATGTGTATGCACATTTGGTACTTAACACTTACGGATATAAGATGTACAGCATTTTATCTTAATGTCTTTATTGCAAATTCAGTTTTTGTCTGTTCTTATTAATAAATACAATGTGTATATTTCTTTTGGAGTCAACGCGTCACTTACGTTACGAATTTACAACCAACTTTGAGGGATAAAACCAATTGTCGCTTTCAGACACACGTTTATTTAATATCAGACGATTGTCGCAAGTCGACGTTGCCTATGCGAAATATAAAGCGGCCAAAAGAAATATCTGTTGAGTGTGTTTAAGTGTGTGCGTATGTGTGCGTTTATGAACATTATCTTGCTAAATTTGAATGTTTTTTCTCCTATGGAATGCAGCTTAAGCGAGAAGCGGACTGCCGAGGAACATCCGCATTCACTTCAAGCAGTGCCCGCAACGATTCGATATACTATCCACTGTGTACGATGTAGAAACTTGTGTAGCCGCGTGTACCCCGCGTTGCCTGGCAACGGCCGCCGTTTATTATTCGTCTGCCATTTCGGTCGCGTTAGTGGATATGATATCCGATCATTCAATGCATCTGTTAAGCTCTTCTTATACACAACTGTTTCGGACTTGATAGAGCAATGGGACGGCTGCTGCAAATCTACTTTCTTCGTGTATTACCTTCAACTCTATTTTGCAATGGGTCAAAGAAGACGAATCGACGATACATTAAAATTTCGTGGCCATTTTGAATTCTCTCATTGCTCTATCAACTCCCGCTGTTTCACTGTTATACTTCATGTTCCCTATATATATTGTTTCGGACTTTATATGTGTATAGAATTTATAGCTGTTCGATCTATTGTTTCTAGATTCGAGAAATTTATAATCTATATATCACTGTGTACTCATATCTTCATACTCGTCATAGCGTGTGTCGTGTTAAGAGTAATCGAATGATGTGTGACAATATAGCTTAACCCTCAATTCAAATGTTAACTATACTATTTGTCTATCACTAACATTCAATCTTCAATGTCGACAGTTCAGACTATCGTTAAGGGTCTCTAACAATTTTAATGTCGTCTCTTAGTGAGGAAAACGCGTCTATGAATTTCCCTTGTGCCCATAGTACCTCTTAATGTCTATTGAATGTTATATATATGTATAAGTAAATAAGATATTGATAATGTTAGTGTTTCAATGATGTTCTGTTAGGCCTGTAGCGTTTACACGTCGATATTTCGCCCGTTGATGTTTTGACATTGCTACTTACGGCATGCGTATGTTCGGCTAAGTGGCCATCACCGAGCGTCCATTGGATTTATAACTCAAAGTTGGTTATTACTTGGCGCGCAGAGAATCTAGTACCTGTTCAAATCTCTCCTGAATACGTTGCGTCATGTAGCAATGTTGAAACAATGCTGTCTCTGAACTGAACTGTGCTCACAAGTCGAACGATCTTTGCAATTTTTCCAAAAGTCATCGATCCCCTCTTCTTAAAATCCAAAGCAAAAGTTATGTAATGGGGAGTCGATAACAAACTATTTTAAATATAAATTAGATCATCCATTAATTATGATCACATTCGCGAGTTTCGATATATATCAAATATGTAGTCGTCTTTTTAGACGTATCTTCACTAAATGTTAGATTTAGCCGGTAAGTTACGTTTATTCAGCCGACGAAAAATCGATACCCGTTCAACCAGACAGGTCAATTAATTCTTATAACAGTTACTGCCTCTGTGAAAATGGCCACTGAACCACTTGTTTAAATTCGTGTTTATATCTATTGGATGTTTCGACAAAGTTGTGTAGAATTAGAGGTATATTAAAGTGCGACACGTTGCATTTTGATGGATTTGGTGATACTCAGGCCTAGATTCTCCGTCTCTCTCCTTCAAACCTTTTGTCCTAGTAATTTCGGGCAATAAACTCAGTATCTAAGAATATAATACTTCAGAATGTTTTTAAGTTGTTTCGTTAAAATATCTGCAAAAGTTTTGGTTTAAAAATAATTTTTAATGTTTTTTTTTTGTATGAATGAAAAGCCTTCGTCGATTGTTTTATGTATGAGTCGATCAATGTTATTTTTATAGCGAATAATTGTAACCTTTTAGCCATGTTAAGGACAATTTATTAGCGACTGTGTAGACGGGACACCATATTGTCAGTACTTAAAATGATTTAGTGAATACAACATTATAGTCAATAATGGCATTTATAGTTATATGAATTGAAATAATTATATTATTCTAAAATAGTATTCGCATTTTTATTTTTCAACTTGACCGATAAGTAAGTGACAAAGTATCAACCAAAGCTTGTGACAAACAGATTAAGTAAGAAGGAAGAAACTTATGAATTTATTATAAAATAAATTTTAAAATGGCCATTCAAACTAAACAAAAAGAATTTTCGCTTTTACAAAAACTAAATGTTGTTAACTAAAACTAATTTACGATATATTTCTGAATCAAAACCATAATTAAACGCGAAAACATTCGTAAATCTTAATACATTTCTACGAAGATAACGATTCTGATAAATAAATGTAAGCAGACAAAATAACTCTTTTTATTGTTGTTGTGAAACATTTTTCCAGCAAAGCTAATGTTATAACTGGACAACTTTCAGAGCAATGGGAGAAGGAACTAGAAGCGGAGTTGAAAGAGTACGAAGTGGTGGCGGAAAAAACAGCAGATGACAAATGGGAGAAGGAGTGTGAAGATCTACTGGGTGATGACGTAGATCTCAAGTAGATTTTCAACGAGGTAGTAAAGAGGAAAGTGGAAATGTCTATTAAGTATCCTTTGAATTGTAACTTGTTGCCAAACAATTTATTTGCAATGGCATATACTATAGATGTGTTTCCCAAGTTTTGGGTCAATTGACATTATATCGTGGATCACGTCGCTTTCGAAGAAAATTAATGAAATTGGTAAAAGTCACTTGTGGGATTTATTTTTCCGTCGATATGTTCTAGTAGATCGCTAGATGTCTGCCTTGATTGTATCATTCGATTAATATGCATAGTTTTAGTTTTTTGTACCAATGAAATATTGTAGATGCATTTTGCGACCCAAAGGTCACATTTATATGTTCGAAAGTTCTGTTGTACTTGTTTCGTTAAAGTTTTATCGAAATAAAGTCCAACAATTTATAATCGCTGCCAAGAGTAAGTGGAAAGCAAATTCTCTTGGAAATTTAATTATAATCCAATGAGATTTATATATTTGTTTAGGATACGACTTGGAGAGTTTCTTTGTATTGTAATACTTTGTAAATGCCATCATTGTGGGACAAAGTTTTTGAAAATAACAATAAGAAATCAATTTACAGTACGTACATCCATCACAATTTAGGACTCTTATTTTATAAGTTTTTTTTTATTTCGAAATGGTACCACGTTAAGCAAAAGCAGTCTTAAATTTCAGCACAGCTTTCTGTTTTATGTTGAGCATAATATTTGAAATGAGAAGTATTGAAATAATTTATGTTTATGTTAATTTTTAAAAAGAAATATTTGAAATTTTTACCTTTATGGTGTTAAAAAGGGAAATCTGCGTGCTTATTTATTTTTTGTATATATTTGTTTCTGTTGTTTCAGCCTGTACATTTAATAAGTGTCGTAGTGATATTATAAAAAATATAATTATATGGATTTTTATAAGAATTATTGAATATCGTTACGTGTGTGAATTTTTGTATTATATTGAACTCAATAAACATAAATAGCGATTGTGCATAGAATTAAGAATTTTTGTTTTGTTGCGATTTTAAGATTAACAGGTGTACTTTTATTTTAAACATTCCCATATGGTGTGATTTTAAATAAAGGTGTAAGAAAACCATCGATATCTTGTTTAATTTGTTTATTAACGTTGAAAATAGAAAACCCCCTACCTTGTATTTTAAATCCTTAATGTGTGGTTACCTACATCTATATAAATATACTAGCGGACCCGACAGACGTCCCGTACACACGACTTAAATACTACAAAAACTTACAAACAAAAAAGATGTAGTGGAGTGAATTGTCAAAATACTAAATATACGGGACTATGTTTCACTACTATATTATGCATGTATTATACATATAAACCTTCCTCCTGAATCAATCTATCTAGTAAGAAAAACCGCATCAAGATCCGTTGCGCTGTTCTAAAGATCGAAGCATACGCCTTTGTTTTATACTATGTAGTGAAGATATAATTCTTCTGTGTGTGCATGTAACGGAACTTCTAAGCAGTGATGATATTATGATGATATTTTTCTGTGTGTTCAAGTGGATTCGAGAATAGTTGACATTAACAATTTGTTTTAGCTCCATCATCATCATTACAGCCTGTTCTAGTCCATTGCCGAACATAGGTCACCCCCACATACTGCCACAAAATACTATCCTTTTTTTTTGTTAACGGGGGCAAGAGCGGGTTATGTCGGACTCGCACCGACTAAAACCACCACGATGTTCCACCTAGGCGCATATCGGCAGGGCCACGGGAACGCTTTCGCACACTTCCGCCCTGCCAGCGCTGCCCTCCCGGGGAGCAATTCCCCTCCTCCAGATAAGGCGCGCTGGAACATTCAACGCGCCTTCCTACTCGGCCCCATTTAGACCAGGGGCCATGGGAGCCAGGAGAGCCAGTGCCAATAAGCAGCAAGCCCCCCATTCCCCAGCGGCGGACCCGGTCTATGGCGCCGAAGCCGTTAGCTTAGCAACTGTGCCACGGAGTCATCAGGATATATAAATAAATAGCACACAAGAGACCTTTTTTTTTTTTTTTGGTATCAGGGGGTGGGGGGGAATCTTCAAAAGATACCCTGTCATGATATGACAGGGTTATGTGGGGTTCGTACCCACTAAAATCCCCTCGGTGGCCACCTTCTGTACCTTTGGAGTGACTCCGGGATCTCCTGCGGAACGCACCTAAATCTTCCCCGATTCCCTCGCCGTCTTCCAGCAGCACGAGACCACTTCGTGCTGCTGCCAATCCGTGTCCCCTTTTAGTCGCCTTTTATGACAGGCAGGGGATACCTTAACTCCATTCTACGAGCCCGAGACTACAGGGCTGTGCACACAAGACACCTAAGGTCTTAGTACATAACTACGGATAATTATGTATGGACGTTGTTAAGGACTCCGCGAGGTCAAATACCTGCGTTACTTAAGACGTACATACCTAGACGACCTCGTCCTATTGACTAAGCCCTCGATGTCCAGTACATTTATAAAGTGTTATAAAGTGATTTTGTTCGTAATTGGTTTAACTATAAATCGTAACAGCTATCAATGGTAACAATACCAATAAAATATCATAAGCTATTAGTTTAATTTATTTATTTCTTTATCAGGTTAGCCAGAAATATATGAAACATATTTATACATTGCTATTTAAGAGTATTGGTAAGTATACACAATTTTCATTATCATAAGCGCTAATAACGGATTGGCAGACTTCACATATCATCGGAATATTTATTTCTTATTATATACTTCGGGATATATCTTCCTTCACTGCTGAGCGGTGATAAGTGCAGCCGTGATAGCTCAGAGTCCGGGCGTTCGCCGCTTTCTTGCTATTATATAAAATTAATACCCTCGGTGGTTGTTTATCTTTTGGAGTTTGTTTAGATTAAAGTGTGTGCAAACTTTGACAACAGAAAGCACAACAGATTGCGGAAACGTATAAATCTGTGAAAACAGGCGTTATTCTGCAAAAAGTTGTATTTTTTCATAAAGGTTATGACGACACTTTGATTGTTTATAAAATATTTAACTTAATACATCTTTAGGTAAGAGGTTCAGTTACGAAGAATTAAAAATTAAAACTTAGAAGTCACGGGGGGGGGGGGGGGGGGGGTGTCAGTTCACTGTTGCCGTCCGTTGATGAACCACGACCTCACAGAAGACTAGCGTGGTGTGGAATTGTTATACTTTACTGCGGCTTTTATACGGCGTTTCGTCTGGTGACTGAGGTAGCTGGGACCGACTTTATTAAAAGGCGGCAACGCAACTGCAACCCTATGGGTGTTGCAAATGTCCATGGGCAGAGGCTATTACTTAATATCAGGTGAACCGCCAGTTCGCCAGCTTTTCACGTAAAAAAAAAATTATTCGAAAACTCGTCCATCGGGATTTGAACCAGCTGTCAAAAATTGAGGTCCGTCAATTACCAGACAACGCGCGCTCTACAAACAAAATGTTCGTTACTTTGTATTGGATAATGACACCTTCGCTACCGGAAAATGTCAAGGCCATAGGTAGTTCTCGTACGCTAGAAAATTGACATCGTTTCAAGTTAAGAGAGGACCCTGATACAATAAATAGATAGGTCATCATCACAGATTTAATGGACGTGAAAACGAACCATAGTCGTCATAAGAAATCGAAATTTCGATATTAGTTCGACAAGAAATAAAGACGTCCTTTATGTAACAGTAGCAAGCAAAATTAATGACAGACGTTTATGCGGATAATAATTGTGCCGATCGAGGAATGGAGACTTATTTTAGTGATACTTAAGTATGGAAGCGTACGTCGAATCTACTTTTGGGTAATAACAAAGAATGGTTTAATCTCGAGCCATCATTTGCCGTTGACCGTGGACTGTAGGGTCGAATAAATGACTCAATGGCTTGCACAAAATGATGATAAGATGACTGACCTACATTCGGGTCTTGCGGTCGGTCGACCTGGATTTCTTTTATTTTGTGACCCGATGTGAACTTATATGGTCAGTCAGTTTAATAAACGTTACCTTATTTTTGTTTTGTTTCGACAGTACCAGATTTTATCGTAAATGCACAAGTGCTTCACTATTAGCCTGTTTCTTCGACCTTTACTGGAGTAACACAACTTGCTTTTTTTATTTTTTTTAAGTGATTTATAATGACTTAATTAGAATTTTTTGCGAATGCATTATTGTTTTGCCACAAATTAATAATAACGTTGATAATAATGTTGAGTAATTTGTTGATGTTAAAAAGAAATATTTATAGAAAATTAAAATTAAAATTTCAATCTAATTACACCAATTGGTGTTATCTCAGTTTCGGTGCGCCGGTGACATATCTAACTCGTATTTGTGTATAAATAATTTCATTGATTGCAGACGTCGAAGCTGAGATTAATTCCTTTTTGTGGATCTTACAAAAATGAATTAAACGACAACACCTTCAACACCTCGCGGTACAAAAGGCGTTGAAGGTAATGCTGTAAATAATGCTCTTCAATGTTTGTGGATCTTATGTAAATTGAACTTGACCAACGGGTGAAAAATGAAAAATGTTTCAGTTGGGTCGAGTTCAATTTATCACGCTGACATGAAAAAATGGAAAAACAAAATCGCTTTGTGATTTATCGTACTAAGATATTCCAAGTGATCGTACCATTAATAATAGTGGACTCCTAATTATACTTTATTAATTTATTATTAAAAAAATGTATTATAATTTAACAAAATTGTAATTTTCTCCACTTGCCTCATTAAACTTTATCTCAGGATTATACTTTGCAATGCTAACGAAAAACAAGCATATTATTTCTTGTCTTTATTTTTTATCGATATGTATGAAAAACTAACTTGGATCTACCAACTCGACCTTCGTTTCTAGCTGTTTCCATGTTAATCTCAAAGAAATAATCAAGTATTGTAATGCATGTAGGTATAAAAACTATATTTTTTAAATTAGTAGCTCCAATAAATCATCTAAAGCAGTTTCCATACTGCCTGGAACCAAGTGTGTCATGGAA